TTCACTGGCAGACAAAAGCCAAAAGGAGAGTCCCTCCCAAAGCTGTTATTCGGCTGATGGCTTCATGGGCTGCAATAGCTGGGTAAGGCTGGTTTTCTTCTTATTGTTGCTAATGCTGTATAAGCTGCTAAATAGTTTGAGCATCACATTTGCTAACACCATGTAATTTTGTGGCAGCCTTTGTTTCCCACCCTTCCTACTTTTCATGGGCTTCTCTAGCGATTCCCAAAACTGTGGCCTTCATTATACTTTTGTAGGATCCCTGCTAAGCTCACTTTTGGGTTACTTAGTAACTGGGCTTGAAGTGAATACTACTAGGGTAAAAGAACTCTGTTAAGTAACTCTCTTTTCAAAGAAAGACTAAAAATGTCTATTTTTAAGCTGTTGCATCAGAATGGACATAACTTTAATGCTTCTAAATTTGAGTCTGTTGTCATAGGTTTGACAGCATTGAGGAAAAAAATCCTTCCACTGAAATATAATGAAGGTATTCATTAGAATAGTTAGAGATAGCATAACCTGTCATATCCTAGGCATGGTACCTTCCAAACAGTAAGACAGCTTGTACTCCTTTGAGTTAAGAACATCCAGTATGTTATATGGACTAATGACCACATAGAGAAGAGCCTGATTATGTTGTTTCTAAACATACTTAAACAGGTATACTGGAATTTGAACTCAGGATCTTTTGCTTATTAAGCATGTGCTCTACTGCAAGGTCTCACTTCCAGCTCTTTTTGCTAGCTGGTAATTTTTGAGACAGGGTGTTGCTCCCTGCCTAAGTGTATGTCTAGATCTCGATCTGCCTGTTTTAGGCAGATCCTACCATAGCTGAGATGACAGCTGTGTGCTACCGTGCCCGGCTTCTTCCATTGAGATAGGCTCATAGACTTTTCTGCTTGGGTTGACTTGAAATAAAAAGCCTCCCATTATCAGCCTCCCAGATAACTAGGATTATAAGTATGAGCCACAGGTACCCAGCCCCAAACATACTGTTGAGTAAATCAGTAAAAAAGAAATATGTACACTCTAATAAAAAAATAGTAGTACATATTAATTTAACCTATGGAAATAAAAATACTGGTACTTATCTATTCAGTGATACATATCCATGGAGTTTTGTTTGTTTGTTATTTGCTAGTCTTGAAGCTTGAACTCGGAACTTGGACACTGTCCCTGAGCTCCTTTTTTTTTTTTTTTTTTTGCTCAAGGCTAGGACTCTACCACTTAAGCCACAGAGCCACTACTGGCTTTTTCTGTTTATGTGGTACTGAGGAATCAAACCCAGGGTTTCATGCATGCTAGGCAAGTACTCTACCACTAAGCCACATTCTCAGTTCCATGGAGGTTTTTTTTCTTATTGAGGAAAAAATGTTGAAGATTGTCACTAAATTATATCAGAATGAATGCTGGTACATATTAGGATGAATTATTACTCTAGAAAATTTAATAATCTCAATAATACTAGTAACAATTTATTCATAAAAATTATTGACTATTGCTAAAGTATTGTTGAGCAGAATTGCTATAGAGTGTGAAAGGTTAACATAATATTTGCATAAAATATAATGGTAAAATAAAATCTCAGGGAGGAGGAATTTTGCACTAATAAACTTAGGTTTAAGGATGTGTGTTTTAAGATATAAAAAGTCCCTAAATGAAAAATGAGTGGAGATAATCATATTATGTCTCCTTTAAAAAGAAAATATAAATTACTAAATAGCATTCTTAAATACCTGCTATTCACACGCTAGGAGGCTAAAAAATTAAGTGGTTGAGATTTGAGCACAAAATGATGAAGTTGTTATACTCTTTGAGGAAATATAGAGCTTTATTAGTTATACTGATATCGCTAGGAAAACTTTTGACAATCTTTTATGAAATATTTGAAGGAGAGCAATTATATGTATACTCAGTGCTGATTAGAAGTAAAGCTTTCAGCCAGTTTTGTGAATGGATCCTCTATAGTGGCTAACAGTGAACCCTTTCCTTAGACAACAGAGAATGTAGCCATGTGGAAATAGATGAAAGGTTGTAATGTTTTCTCATTAATATGTTTACAGTTGAATATAATTGGCTGGGTATCAGTGGCTCATGACTATAATCTTAGTTACACAGAAGGCTGAGATCTGAGGGTCGAGATTTGAAGCCAGTCTGGTCAGACAAGTATGCTTGGACTCTCATCTCCAATTAACCAGCAAAAAGCTTGAACTGGAAATATGGTTATCATTAGTCACAAGCAAAATAAGCCAAGTGAGAGTGCAAGGCCCTGAATTCAAGTTCTAGTATCTGCACAAAAAGAAAATCATGGTAACCCAGAATTTTTAAAACTTGGCTTCCAAAAGAGGACTAGAGATACAACTCTGTTAAGAGTTAGTTTTTAGTCATGTTTACTACTTAGTCTTTTATCTTATTGAGACTTGGCCCTGGATTTTAATTTCTAGCCTGAAACTTACTAGTCTAGATTAGTACAATCTTTCCAAGTCTTACTTTCTTCATTTTATAAATAGAGAATACTTACCTCACAGAGGTGCTGTGAAGAAGAAATGGATAATGTGGGATAGAGGTTTCACATTCATTAAATAATCCATGATTAATGACTGCTTCTCACTTGCTCTATACAATACAACGCTTGCCTTAAGTAGGGTTTTGTTGTTTGTTTGGTCCTTGTTTTTTTTTTTAACATATGTTACACTTTGGGAAGGGGGTGTTAAAAATCAGGAAAGTTAATCGAGATCCAAAATCTCATAGCTAGTCAATGACAGATAATGGGTTTGAGGTATGTTTGCTGCTAAAAATCTGTATTTCTTTCTATTATGCTATATTGAACTCTTTAAAAACTATAAAGAAACAACAAAACCTTTATAGTATATCATAATCTACAGTAACAACATACTCCAGGAATTTGTGGCAGACAAAATATCTCAAACTCCTCACTGCCCCTGCTTATTTCTCCTCAAAGTTCCTTTTGTGGGTGGGGATATGGTTCAATGGTATAGGGCTTTCCCTCACATGCTCAGTGCCCTGGGCACAACCCAGGGAGATATGTTATTTTTGTATCCAATTATCAACATGCGAGAACTGGGGGGGGGGCGGGAGGCACAGGGGAGGAATGAAATAACTAGAGATTTTAACATAATTTCCTCCTACTGTTCAAGGAATCTATTTTTGCTCTTAATGTTCCTAAATATCCCTGTCACAACTTGGCATATAGAGAAAGGAAATTCTGATCCTCTTTAGTTAGTGTTTGCCAAAATTTAAACTAGTTGAATAATGATACATTGAAGTTGGCTCAATCACACTTACATTGCCAAAATATGCACAAGAGCAACAATAATTAACACCAAAACTATTATACTATCCAATTATCATGCTATCAAACTTACAGGTAAAAATTTTCCTAGACATACACTATTTTTCTCCCAATGCTTCCCATCCCCTGCAAGACTGTAATGTTGATTCCTTGATTGGAATCACAATTGAAACTTACACATTCTCAGAAGTTCCTTGCAAGCAAGCTCTTTTACTTTAATTCTTAGCAGACCCTGGCCAGATGTGGCAACTCCCACTTTTCATATTTCTTATTTTCAGACACAACTATTTAAACCCATAAGTTAATGTTTGCCTCATTTTTCTCTCTAAACGGAAAGAAGGGAAAGAGTTACATTCTAACTGTAAATGTTAGGAGTTAAACAGTGACCCAAATAAATAAGCATTAAAATTGCTGAGGAAATCAGTGCAGAAGTCACTTAAGTTGGACAAGAGTCCAAGAAAACAGACACGGTGGAGAAAATGTGAAATCTGAGCTAAGAAAAGTGATGCTCATACTATCTTCTTAACTGTTTAAGGAAACTCCATCTGTGTGATACAATCCAAGGGCTATTCACTTTGAGAAATAGAAGATTCTGTCATTTTCTGAACAGAGTTGTGTGCCTTCTAGAGGAGATCAAGAATGTGGTAGCATACAAGCATGAGTCACACTGAAGATGCCCAGGACAGAGGAGCACATGTGAGTTGCATTGTAGACCTGGAAACTCCATTCTTGGTTTTTGGTTTCTGTGCAACCACATACATACGTCTGCATTTGGGGCTATTTTCTTTACTAAGATGGTCTGAGGCATATACCCATGGGGAAAGATAAGGCAGAGGAAAATGTGAGAAATTTCCAGGAAGCAGCCTACATAAGAAATAAACGTACCATTTAAGAAAAAAGAAAACATCATTTAAAAGACTCTTAGACCATTGCTTCAGGGGGAAAGGCTGCAGGACAGGGGAAAAGAGAAATGAGACAGTGATAGAGATGAATATGATTGGAAGCATTAATTTACATATGTATGAAAATAGCACAGTAAAACCTACTACTAAAAACTTAAAGGTGAAATTTCTATTTTTACAAGCTGTTAGTGTTTATTAAGAAAGTTATATAGATGGTAAATTAAATGCTTATATGTATTTCTTAACAGTTTTTAGTACATGAATTTGATCAGCCTATATTATATATATATATGTAAATATCACAATGAAACAATTTATGCCAATAAAATATTTTTTAACAAACAAAATAGCAAACCTGATGAGCTTTTGAATTTACCAATTTTGGTCAATTTCTTTTCTTTTCCCAAATGGTTTATTTCTTGGTGCTTCTGTTGTCCTCATTTTGCTGAAAGTCACTTGTAAAGTTGCTAATAGTTTTGTCTTCAGAAGCATAAAAGTATAATGTATAATTATCAACTTGCTTTACAAAGTTTCATTGGCGAGGAAGAAGAACATTTACAGAAAATGACAGTCTATTTAGGCAATCTCTTACTAATTTTACAAATCACTTTAAGGAAAGCAAAATGGACTATTTAAGTTAAGTAGCAACTATTATCATTCACTCTTATTGTTATTTGCAATAATAATTTATTTTGAAGAAATGATAAGACAGTTCTCTTTGATTTTTAAGATCTTCCTTCACAAAGTCTGACTAAAAGAATCTCACATTTTTGTTTCATTCTTACCGTATAATCTTGTCTTGTCTCTCTCCAAAATAGTTACAGGCTTTCTCTTCTGAAGGCTTGCTTGCTCTTTTTATTAGCCAGAGTTTGGCAGAGAACCAAATGGCTTTAGAAGGGAGTGATAGGCGGATGAGCTTTTGGTATGTACTCCCTTCCAAAGAGCCCAAAGCATCATAATTCTGTTAAACCTAAGATTCACAAATTTTCTGCTTTCTTCTTTGTCATTGTTTGAAAAAGCATCTGATGTGTAGCCTAAAGAATAGACCGTGGGATGTAACAATAAGGCTATCTGTGAGAAGACAGAAACCTAGCCCACAACAATCTTCTGGCACCTTGATTTTGATTATTACCACATAGAAAATAAATTTCTTTTGTTTAAGACCCCCCCCACCAAAGGAAAGGAAAGGAAAGAAATTAGGGTTGGGCTCTGGATCTGTAATTCTAACTACTCCTGAGGCTGAGATCTGAAGATTACAGTTCAAATCTAGCTGGGGCACAAAAGTCCATGAGATTCTTATCCCTAATAAACACCAATAAGCCAGAAGTAGAGGTATAGCTCAAGTGGTAGAACATGAACATTGAGTGAAAAAGCTAAGAGACAATGCTAAGGAAAAAGAAAAAGGAAAATAAATAAAAAGGAAAAAGGGCTGGGAAGGTGGCTCGGTGGTAAAAGTGCTTCCCTTGTATGCCTGAGGCCCTGGGTTCGATTCCTCAGCACCACATAAGCAGAAAAAGCTGAAAGTGGCCCTTTGGCTCAAGTGGTAGAGTGCTAGCCTTAGCTGAAGACCTGAGGGACAGTGCCCAGGACCAGAGTTCAAGCCACATGACCAACCAAAAAATAAACATTTAAATAAATAAATAAATAAAATGAAAAGGAGAAAGAAAAATTTGGGAAACCTTTGTTAGAGATTTATTCCTTAGAATACAGTAGTCACAGAGAGTAGAGCTTGCATGTTTTGTTTCCCTTATTCATGATCACTATACAGGTGTTCATTCTGAGAAATCACAAAGTTAAAGTTTAATTTTATTCCCAACCTCTATGCTACTTCACTTTTTCCTATAACAAGGAATTGTGGCTCAGAAGCAAAGAGCTGCTTATTAAATGAATGGTTCATTGCTTTGGAACTGTGAGGTGCGCTGATGAGAATGTTTGTTTCACATAAATACCTGACAGACAGGTTAAGTGCCTTCTCTCAATTCTCATTATGGTGCCTGGAAAGATAATCCAGAGAACACACTAATTCAGAAATAGGAAGTACTTGGAATCAGAAACCTTATCTTTTTTACACTTAGATCTCAGACAACTCTAGCTCAGAAAGCGTCTCATGCACCTGGTCAATTTTATCTGGTTCAATAGCAATAGTCCTGAAACATTTCTAGAAGCAGCTTTTTTTTCCCCTTTTATTTTCCCCGCTGGTCTTGGGGCTCCAACTCAGGGCCTGGATATTGTCCCTGAGCTTTTGTGTTCAAGGCTAGTGCTCTACCACTTTGAGTCACAGCACTATTTCCTGCTTTTGGGTAGTTAGTTGGAGGTAAGAATCTCATGGACTTTCTGCCCCAGCTGGCTTTGAATTGCAATCCTCAGATTTCAGCCTTCTAAGAGGTTAGGATTACAGGTGTGAGCCTCTGATGTCCATCTTTTTTCTTATATTTCTTTCCTTCCTTTTTTCCCTTTCCTTTCTTTCCTTCCTTCCTTCTTTCCTTCCTTCCTTCCTTCTTTTCTTTCTTTCTTTCTTTCTTTCTTTCTTTCTTTCTTTCTTTCTTTCTTTCTTTCTTTCTTTCTTTCTTTCTTTCTGTCTTTCTTCCTTCTTTC